TTAAACCCTAAACCCCCTAAACCCTAAACCCCTAACCCTAACCCCTAACCCCTAGCCCCTAAACCCTAAACCCTAACCCCCAGAAACCCTAAGCCCCAGAAACTACTGCAAACTACGTGAACCGAAAAGCTCAGCTGCTGTCCTTAGATCCCATGGTTTCCCCTACTCCCTCTATACTACCCCCCCCCCATCCCAGGGTTCCCCCCCATAATTAAGGCTATGGGGAGAAAATTAGGCCTAATTAAGGTTATTTAAGCGGGGAACCTAGGGGGGTAGTATCCCTAAACCCTAAACCCTAAACCCTAAACCCTAAACCCTAAACCCTAAACCCTAAACCCTAAACCCTAAACCCTAAACCCTAAACCCTAAACCCTAAGTAGTAGAGAGGGGGGGTGGTAGGGAAACCCCTGAGAGACCCCATGGTCCCCCTGGGCGTGGCACTCCTCTCCTTCTTGCCCTTCACCTGCCGAGCAGGCACCACTACCAGGGTTTTAGTGCTGAGGGGTTGAGGGGTTGAGGGGTTGAGGGGTTGAGGGGTTGAGGGGTTGAGGGGTTGAGGGGTTGAGGGGTTGAGGGGTTGAGGGTGGGTGCACAGAAATTGTGTGGGGTTCGCGTCCGAAGTTTGACCGAAAGTCTCGGTCTTTTTGTTTTTTGTTGAAGGCGTTTCTTTGGTGCTTTTGAGACTTTGTGAGAAGCGGAACTCTTGGAGCTTCTGTTGGTGGGGGATTTGAGTGACTCAGCCTTTCTTGTGTGGAAGTTTTCGTTGCTGGACGTTTTGGAGTTTTCTTTGCGCAAACCCTAAACCCTAAACCCTAAACCATAAGCCACTTTGTTTTTTTGCTTTGGGGGGGGGGGGGGGGGTAGGGTTAGGGCTGGGAGATTACCCCTCAACCCTAAACCCTATAGAGGAGGTACTGTGCTGTCTCCGACCCGACACTCCTGAGAGATCTAGAAAGTAGCTCCCCCTTCAGGGTACCCAAACCCTAACGCCTAACCCTAACCCCTAAACCCTAAACCCTAAACCCTAAACTCTTCTTCTGGTAGTTGAAAGGCTGCTTGGGAATCCAGTGGCTACCCAATGAGAAGAAGGGCCCGCAAAGGGTGTCGGGTTTAGGGTTGATAGGGTTTAGGGTTTAGGGCTAGGGTTTAGGGTTAGGGTTTGGGGTTTAGGGTTAGGGGGTTTAGGGGTTTAGGGTTTAGCATCTTGTCGAGCATTCACTAAGGGTGTTTGGCATCACCCCACATGTTTGGCAATCCCCCCTCCCTCCCAGAATCCCTTTTCAATCTGAAATTATATATATATATATATGTATATATACATATATGTATGTATATATATATATATTCCCTTACCTAACCTATTTGTTTATCACAACCAATTTTCTCATTCGGCTCGCAACACAGCCATCTACCACCAACCAGCACCACCACAGCCCCAGATAGCTTTCAAAAGCCCCAGAAAGCTACAAAAAGCCCCCCAGAAAGGGGTGAGTGAACCCAGGATTGCCTGGCCCCGCAAATTGCCGCTTCTTAGTACTAAAATCGACGGTTTCGGGGCCCCTCCCTTTTACCCCAAAGCACCACTACGGTCAAAATAGCTTTTCAAAAGCCCAAAAGGCCTCAAAGAGTCCCCAGAAAGGTCCGCAAGGAAAAATCCTGGGGGTGTGCCGGGGCGTCCCGGAGAGGCCCGGGGACACCTGTCCCGGGGGGGGGGTCCCGGGGACATTGTCCCGGGGGGGCCCCGGGACAACCTGCGTCCCGGGGGGGGGGCCCCCGGAAAGCCCTAAACCCTAAATCCCTTAAATCCTAAAACCCTAAACCCTAACCCTAAATCCTAAATCCTAAATCCTAAACCCTAAACCCTAAATCCTAAATCCTGAATCCTGAATCCTAAAGGAGAGGTCCAGGCCCAGAGAGGCCCCTGAACCCTAAATCCTAAATCCTAAATCCTAAATGACCCAAACCGGGAGCACAGCCCATTAAAGTTTTAAATATACATAGGTAGAGAGGGTTAGGGTTTATGTAGGGTTTAGGGTTCAGGGTTCAGGGTTTAGGGCGCACAAGCCAGTGCCTGGGTGGATGCGAAGCTGGGCAATGCCATGGCCATGAGCGTGACAGGAAGGGGTCAGGAAGCTTTGCCTCGGTCTCGGAAGAAACGAAAAAATCTGGGCTTCAGGGTTTAGGGTTTAGGGTTTAGGGAACTCGCTCAATTCAGGGTAGGGTGCTTGCGATCGAAGCCCATAGAACCTGAGACCATAAACCTTTATGACAGGTCGAGCTTATATACAGCTGCTTCAGCACCTCCCCGGAAAAATAAGATCCTTGTGTGACCTTACAAGGAAGAAATTTGCTTCTGTTGTTTTTTGGGGGAGGTTCTTAAGCAACAAATCGAACCTTGAGGAATCTCAGGGTTTCAAGCTTGGGTGTAGGGTGTGGGGTTTGGGGCGTAGGCTTGCTTGTTTCTGTTAGGGTTTGGGGTTTTAGGGTTTGGGGTTTGGGGTTTGGGGTTTTTAGGGTTTAGGGTGGGGAAGGAACGTGGTCTGTTAAGTCTGCCCAGATGTTGAGGGTCCAGGACGGAGGATGCCCCCTCCCGTATATGGTATGCTGGCTTCGTCAAGCAAACTGGGCCTCAGGGCTCAGAAATGAAGGTGGCGTTGTACCAGGAGTACGTTTCACAAATATGATGTATATATATATATACACATTACATACATATATACATTATATACCTAACATATATATATATAATATGTTTTTTACATGTAGTATAATAAATACACACCCATCTTTAAAGGTACAAGCTTACTCATGATTTGGGACAGCTTTCAGGTTCGGTGGTGTTGAAGTGGCGCAACCTCAACTGGATGTTCTCCCTTCTACTAACAGTCCTCAATAATAGGGAGGGTTTAGGGTTTAGGGCTTAGGGAGTATAGAACGCCCGATTACAATCCCTGTTCAGGACTCTACGAACACCCCAAGTCAAACCCTAACACCCTAAACCCTAAACCGCTAAACCCTAAACCCTAAACCATTACAATCCCGAGGAGGGTCCTGTTGAGGACGCGGCACGCTCAACAAGCTGAAAACTCGGGCGCTGGTTTCCCAGGACACGCGCCGGTGAGCCGACAGAGATGGGCCGGTTAGGGTTTAGGGTTTAGGGTTTAGGGTTTAGGGTTTAGGTCTCGCTCCCTCGCTTCTTCTCGCAGGGTGCAAGTGCAACTTCGAGGTTCCACACAAAGCAGACAGCATAGGACTTCCAGGGTTTCTAGGGTGTGTAGAGTTAAAGGGGGGGGGGGGGGTTTGTACGGTTTATAGGGTTTGTAGGGTTTGTAGGGTTTATAGGGTTTATAGGGCTTACAGGGTTTGTAGGGTTTGCAGGGTTTAAAGTTTATAGGGTTCATAGGGTTTAAAGGGTATGTAGGGTTTATAGGGTTAGGGTTTACAGGGTTTATAGATTTTATGGGGTTTACAGGGCTCATACGGTTTAACAAACGCACGTCGAAAAACAATCCGGTCAACTTCCACAGGATAGTTACAGTACTCTCCCCAAATCCCCTTATTGCTCCTGAGGTGCTTATAACCTACTGTACGACCCCAACAAGGATACGCCTAATTTCGGAAAGCCAGCCCCTTGTGTTGTCTTCATCGTGGGCAGAGAGAGTGAGGGGTCCAGTGCGACGGTTTAGGGCTTAGGTTTAGGGCTTTCTTCACATTTTCAGAAATGACCTGGAGACTAACAAGAACACAAGTTTGTAAGAGCTTGCAACCCTAAACCCTAAACCCTACAGTTGTAGAGTTTGTAGTAGCAATGCCATGGAACCAGGTGCCCATACTAAACCCTAAGCCCTAAACCCTGAACCCTAAACCCTTGTCTGGTTACTGGGCCTCTAGTTGCAGAATAGCAGCCAGAAATTGACCCGCTGCGTGGGTGCACAAACCTCCCCCTGCCCCCTTTCCCCCTCCCCCCTCCCCCCTTTCACCCTCCCCAGCCAAAAAGAAAACCTAAACCCAATATCTTGCACCCTAAACCCTAAACCCTAAACCCTAAACCCCAAACCCGAAACCACAAACCTGTAACCTGACATGAAACCTTCCCAGAAAGTGTGGGTTCCCCTGCTTTCCGTGTCCAATTCCGCGCTCAATGCCATCCTGGTAGTCGTCATCCCTGGCACCCACAGAGGTTCCTCTAAACCCTGGTTTTGGGTTTTGGGTTTAGGGTTCAGGGTTTAGGGTGTAGGGTTTAGGGTTTAGGGCTATGCAGGGTATAGTGTGAAATGGTTTAGGGTTTAGGGTTTAGGGTGAAAGGGTGCAAGGGTCTAGGAAGTTCAGAGTTTAGGCCCGAGGGTGGAGTGCTACCATGATATGACCACACATATAGCTCTCTGCTTGCAGTCAGAGGTCGTTGCTGCCTAGTACATACATTTTTTGGGGGGTTACTATTTTAAGACGGCCCGTACTATTCGGGCCCAAACAGGAACCATGATTTTGAGAAATGACCACATCAACCCTGAAGTAGAGCACCTTGGGGGGAAAAAACTGCTGGAAAACTCTCAGGAATTTGTGTGGATCAGGCGGGCTGGTGGGACCTGGGAAGCGGTTCAGGGTTTCGTGTCTAAACCCTAAGCCCTAACCCCTAACCCTAAACCTTAAAGGTTTCATCCTGGCTCACGGTCAGGATGTGCCGTGAATTGTTGTTAACCCCCCTACCCCAGACCCTAGACCTTCCTAAGCCCCGTGATCTGTTTAAAGCCCTAAAGCGCTAGACCCTAAACCCTAAACCCTAAACCCGAAACCACACAGACCTCCACATTGAGCCCTGCAAGCAACTTGACCCGGCCCTAAACCTCTCAAATGCCAGGAACTGCTTGAATGATTCATGGTTATCGCCGGGCCAGGCGCAATCTTCGAGGGCAACCATACGCACTATATGGGTGCTCCCGAACCCTAAACCCTAAACCCTCAACCCTAAACCCTCAACCCTTAAAGCCTCAACTCCGGGCCTGGCGTGGCCGTGGCGGCCAGGGCAGTCAGATGCCCGGGACAGGGCACCGAGGAGGTGTGCCTCTCACGGCGCGGACTTGCACTGCCCACTGCGGTTTAGGGTTTAGGGTTTAGGGTTTAGGGTTTAGGGTTTAGGGTTTAGGGTTTAGGGTTTAGGGTTTAGGTGGGTCGATCGGCTTTCGGCTTACCTGGAGGTTCATGGGTAGTCAAGTCTAAGGTTCATGGGTAGTTAAGTAAGGTAACTACAGTTACAACTGGTGTAACCTTCTTTGTACTTCTTTACTTAGAGCTACCCATGAACCTTCAACTGTGCTAAACACACACGAAGTCAGGGTACAGTGTAAAGGCAGCGTATGGCAGAAGTAGAGCAAAGTGCGAGGACCTTAGCGTACACGTGTTCAGCTTGCCACCCCTTCCTCACTCCTTCCTTCTTGCCATGCTGAGAGTCCATCTCAAAGCACCCGCGCAATATAGGGGCCAGAAAAGTTAGAACAGGGTTTTAGGGGTTGTTATCGTAGATTTATACAGGGACTACAAGGGACTAGTACTAGTAATTATTCCGACCCCGTTTAACATTCAAGTGCATTCCGTGCGTGGAAACCACTGTCTGCCTTGCACGAAGCCTAATGGTTGGCTCTCCCCCCCCGCCCCCCCCCCCCGCTTCCCCGCCTTCTCTGGGATGCGCTGCTTGCCATAGCCGATGAAGCCCTCACGGGTTTGGGGCTTAGGGCTTCGGGTGCTCTTTTTCGGCAGACTTCGAGTCGGATCTGAGGGTTCGGGGTCTGTCTGTCCCCTCTATGGTATCCCTGTGCTGTCTTGCAGTTCCCACTCATGAGCATGAACCTTCAAGCAAGGGCGCGCACTTCGCAGCGGGACTTGTCGAACGTAAAGCCGGCCCCGATGTTGTCTCTGACCTTTGGCGTTTGCGTTGGTGCAATCTTCGAGGAAGACCGGGTAGTTGCAAGTGGGGCTATGAAATGGCTTGGGGTTTAGGTTTGGGGGTAGTCACAAGTAGGGTTATAAGTCCCCTAAAAAGAGGTCTAATCCAAAATAAGGGCAGAACCGGCTGTAACTAGAGTTACCCTGGACCCAAGAGTACCGTAGGAATAAATAGGGTACCCTTCCTGGTTGAAGTGGCTGAAAAGGGAACCTAAACCCCCCAAAAGGAATAACGGCCTAGTCTATGTCCTAGTGCCCTACATAGACCCCCAGTTGTAAATACCCATGAACCTCCAAGTACAGCGGGATGCCAAGCGACTGGCCTCCCAACTCCCTAAGCCCCCCCGTCTTGAGGCCAGACAGGAACTGAGGATCCGCGCAGCAGCTCACAGACATTAAGAAGAAGAAGAAGTCATAAGGACAATACAGATATGAAGACTTCGAAAGCAGGGCTGTACCCTTTTCAATTCTTTTTGTTTGGGGGGAGGGGGGGGGCTCTCTACAACAGGCATTGTATGGATATCACACCCCTATGTTGGCAAATGCCAGTCTGTGTATGCTCACTCCCCGCCGCCCTGGACTGCTCCCTTTTTTTACGCCTTCCGGGCAAGAAAGTCGCACTTCTCTGTAGAGTTTGTTGGGTGGGCAGGGGGAGCAGAGGGGCAGATAACAATCAATGTATGTGTATAGTGTGTGTATATATGTATGTACACGTACTAGACTGACTTACTAAACTGTTGCTTTGTACTTCTACACCGTCCTAAACTAAGGTCCCGCGTGGGATCATGTTTATGTAAAAAGCCGTCTTTTGTGAGCGATTACAAAGACACAAGCCCTGCCAATCTTTTCCATAGACCGAAACCCTAAACCCCAACCCCGAACCGTGAACCCTCAGCCCCCTAAGCCCTGAACCCCAAACCCCAAAAGCCCTGAAGCCCTCAAATTCCCAACCCCCCAGCTCCCAGAATCCCAAAACCCCTCAACCCCTGCAAACCCTGCAAACCCTTCAACCCCTTCAACCCCTAAACCCCTAAAGCCCTGAAAAGCCCTGAAAAGCCCTGAAAAGCCCTAAACCCTAAACCCTATACCCTAAACCCTAAACCCTAAACCCTAAACCCCAAACCCTAAACCCTAAACCCTAAACCCTAAACCCAGCTCAGCTTGCGGCCCCGAAGTGGCGCCTCCCTGGTGCCGGTGAGGCATCCTTCTCTTGGGAGTGGAGGGGAACCCATAGGGTTTAGGGTTTAGGGTTTAGGGTTTAGGGTTTAGGGTTTAGGGTTTAGGGTTTAGGGCTAGGGTTTAGGATTTGGGGCTTAACTCAAGGTGCCTCATATGCCGTGACGTAACCCTTCAAGAGATTATACCGGGAACAAGACTTCCCTCCAAAGAGCCAGCAATGTCAACCCTAAACCCCTTGAATTCAGGTGGGACGAAGTTCGACCCACGACCAAGACGTCGGCACACGCAGGCAAGCATGGTATGGTCCACCCCTCTTGCTAACCATTCACCCTTTCTTCCGCCAGCACGACGTACAACCAGTGCTTCTCGAACTGAGCCAAAAAAAGCGTGCCCCTATTTATTGAGAAGCCTCCGTGAGAAAAAAATGGTGCCCGTGACTAAACCCTAAACCCTAAACCCTAAACCCGAAACCCTAAACCCTAAACCCTAAACACGTCCTCGAGGCAGGTTGCCTGCCCACAGCCTGGCACGATGTGGTCAGCACCCCCCACCGGGCGCCGATGGGGCCTCGGGTCGCGGGCCGAAGGCAGGCAAGAAAATGGAAGCCCAGAGAAGGTTTAGGGTTTAGGGTTTAGGGTTTAGGGTTTAGGGTTTAGGGTTTAGGGTTTAGGGTTTAGGGTTTAGGGTTTAGGGTTTAGGGTTTAGGGTTTAGGGTTTAGGGTTTAGGGTTTAGTAACCCCAAAACCCCGAACGCCAAACCCTGAACCTCAACCCCAAGACATAGGCCACTAAATATTGAACCTCCAGGGGGCACAAACGCCGCACAACAAATCTTGTTGTGGCTTGGCCAACCCTAGGGTTTAGGGTTGCGGATTTTTGAGTCTTGGGGACCTGCTATGGCGCATCAGGACAGGTTCGGATTCGGAACCCTTCGTTGACAAAACGATCATCTGAAGACTTGTGCTGTCTAAGCTGGCAGTACCTTCAAGCAAGCAGCCCTTGGCACTTCTGCGAAGTGTTGAACGCGAAAATCCCGCAAATCTAGGCCCGCAAATCCTGCTGGAAAAGTAGGGAAAGGAGGGTAACATTGGTTGTGACCCAGAGAATCCTATCTCTAACTGCCCGTGAACCATCACGCATGCCATGCCACAGTCGTACCCGAGACCTTCTTTTCTTGACGGTTTGTGGCATCTCGATGCACTCACTCAAAGCTTCCCAATACGCTTGCCAGCCTTCTTTGGTGAAGTGATGCTTGTCACACTGGCTCGCGGATTGAACATCGAAGTGCTTCTGCAGGTCAACTATGCAGGTACCCAGCCAGGGCTCTTTCCAGACAGCCTCCTTGACAGCTTCAGAGTGGAGGTCGTTCAGAGGGACGGCAATCGCGGAACCTTCGCTGACTAGCCGTGGACAGTTTGGGTTGGTGCGCCAAAGGCGGGCTACCACAGCCAAGCCGCTCTCCTGAAAACCTTGCTGCCAGGAGCTCCATGTCTGTGTGGCTCTATCCAGCCATCCCCAATCAGTCAAATTCGCTGCGGTGATTTTGGCCGCGACCGTCATCTGTTGCTGGGCTTCAGTCATCTGTGAAACTCGCGAGCCGGTGATACCCTCAAGGACTGCAAAGGAGTCCCACATGGAAGACTGGAGAAGCAAGATGTTCTCGCGCTTGGGAAGCAGCTGAAGGACCACTTGCGGCCAGATGTACCTTGCTTGGTCAGTGACCGGGATGATACCCTGCCTCCCTTCGGAACCCGGGTAGTGGGTGTGCATCCTCCGCTTTGCAAAATCGAAGTACCACCCCGGCTGCGGAGGAATACTGTACAGGCCTTGGTGGAAAATCATGGCTGCGCTGATGTTCCGCTGGGGATCATGGCAGGTCATGATCCTGGCCATACCTGGCCACGTGATCCTCCCGTGGTACTCGCCTACAGGATTGACAATCTTGTCCGTGTACAGTATCGAATCGAAGATGCCTGTCAGGCGCCTGCAGAAATAGCGGAAGAAGCGCTCATCGTTCGAGTCTCCGGCTATGATCAGATTCCTCCTTTCCAGGCGTATTTTGCCTACCAGTGCTTGAATGGTGGTAGAGGTAGAAGCTGTGACGCTGGGCGTTGTACCCACCTGTACCGCCTCTACCGCTGACCATCGTGCGGGTTGAAGCTGTGGTCCTGGCCGTTGCTCAAAACTTTGTTGAGCTCTTGACGCCTTCGGAGGTTCCTAGGTCGGCTTTCAAACACCCTGAAAAATGTCTGTACACACACATATATATATATATATCCATGTGTATATATATATATATTTGTATGAATATAATAAATTATATATATAGGGCCCCGCATAAACCCAAATAAGGAAACTACAACATGTCCCGAAATCCAACCTAGGTTCCTCCGCATTCCGGGTCCAGACTGTGAGAAGTATCAGGGCCGAGGTGGCCAGGGCCAAGGCACCAATGCGCCCGCCGCGCATGGAAGCCCGCTTGCTGCGTCATGCGCCGCTTGGCATTCTGCTTACCCTGCCACACCCAAGCTAAGGGGGTCCGAGTGCCTCAACATCAGCATACTTGGAGGTTCATGGGTGGCTCTAAGTGGGATAACCATCGTTACAAGTGGTTAAGCTATAGCCGTATGTAGGGGACTGATCACCCTACATGTAACTGGACAGCAGGAGAGCTTTACTAGCCCACTACCGAAGCCGTCAGGAGTATAAGGAAGTCCTTATCACCTAACAGTTTCGCAGCATCATCGCAAAAGAGGAGCCGTAGATCTGAGGCCAACAAAGTCAACATCTGTTGAAGGGATTTTAGGGTTTAGGGTTTCGGGTTTCGTGTTTAGGGTTGCAAGCGCGTCTTGTGGAAAAGATGAGTTCTGTCTGAAGGAGGACGCATGAACTAAAATGCTTAAGACGAAGCGCAACCATTGTCCTTGAGGAGTTTCTTCGGCATTGTTAATGTTTTGCCCCAAACCCTAAACCCTAAACCCTAAACCCTAAACCCTAAACCCTCCTAAACCCTAGGGAAGGAAGTTGAGGATCCCAGGAACTGCGTGGACCTCGGACGATGTTCCAAGGCCCACGGCTCTACCGGAATATATTTTTGGGGTTTAGGGCTGAGGGTTTAGCATTTAGGGTTTAGGATTGCCTTTAGGGCGCATGGGTAGCAAGAAGCAGGGCTAGCTGGTAGCCGGAATAAGGTTACAACAAGGTATAATTTTAGCTGCCTTACTTGTAACCCCACTTGTAACTAATTACCCGTGAAACTCCAAGTAACTCTAAACCCTAAACCCCAAACTCTAAACCCTAAACACTATACCTAAATTCAAACCTCAACCCAGTTGTAACTTGAAGCTGCAAGGGCATTTCTAGCGCTATCTACCTGAAGGGAAGGACATTTTTAAAAGAACCCTGATGACTTTCTGAACCAATTCTTGAAGGGAGTTAGGTACCTTGTGCCACCCCCCCCCCCCCCCCCCCCCCCCCCATATAACCCTTCAAGGGAGAACATAGCGGGAAGCTCTTGATGGGCCCATATGGGTGTGTAATGAAGGCTGGGTTTAGGGTTTAGGGCTTAGGGCTTAGGGTTTAGGGTTTCGGGTTTAGGGCCCTAAATCAAAACAGCACCCTAAACCCTAAAAAGCCCCGAATCCCAGCGCTAAACCCTAAATCTTAGACCCTAAACCCTAAACCCTAAACCCTACAATCCCAGAGCTTGAGCCCGCCCACATGGGCGGGGCCACCTTCGACGGGCAGAAAGGGTTGTCCTTGCCACAACGTGCATTAGCCATGCTAGGCTTTGGGGGTTGAGGGGTTTTCTTCCGAACTTAAAACCTGCTTACTAGGGTTCAGGGTTTGGGGTTCAGGGTTTAGGGCTTAGGGTTTAGGGTTTAGGGCTTAGGGTTTAGGGTTTAGGGTTTAGGAGACGCTGCGGGGACATTCCGAGGACGGCTTCCTGGGGATATACCGCCACGCATCTCGCCTTCAGTGAAACACCCCACAACCTCTGACCCTAAACCTTAAACCCTAAACCCTAAACCCTGAGCCCTGGACTCAAAGTAGGATTCAGGGGTTAGGGCTAGCATTCTTGGAGACCTCATGAGCCTCATAACTAGGGTCATATACCCTACTTTCAGGTTTATCGGCAGCTTGAAGTAGGTTGCAAGTAACCTAAGTAAGGCTATAGCCGCTTATAACCATAGTTATCCCACTTGAAACCCGGTATGCTACCTATGACCGCCAGTAAAGATGAAGGTATATGTGTGCAGCGTCAGGCAGTCCCCCGCAGCGGGGACAGGGGAGGGGGGGGGGGGGGGGGGGCGGTGTTCAGGATTTAGCTTTTAGGGCTTGGGCTTAGTGGTTTTTAGGGTTTAGCGGTTTAAGGGTTTTCGGGTTTTGAGGTTTTGGCGTTTTGGGGTTTGTGTTTTGGGGGTTTGGGGGTTTGGGGATTTGGGGGTTTGGGGGTTTGGGGGTGTTTTGGGACTTTGGGACTTTGGGTTTTTTTGTGGCCTTTGCGTAGGGTGTTGAAGGGATTTAAGGGCTTTAAGGTGTAAAACGTTTGTTTAGGGTGGCAGGTTTTTGGGGCTGAGGGATTTAGGGTTTAGGCCTGAGGATTTTGGGATTTAGGGAGGGGCTTGGTGTGAGGGTTTGGTGTGGGTGGGGTGGGGGTGAGCGGGGGGGGGGGGACCATAAACCTGTTAGGGCTCATGTAGGCCCCAAAAATTAACGCTCATCCCGCCACAACACCAAAAGCACGAACCCGAAAGTGTCCTGCTGCTGCCACTCAGGGCGGTGGCCTGGGAGGTATATAGGCTTCTCACCCTAAACCCATAAGAGTATTGGGTAGCCATAAAGACGAGCCGGAAGCAGGTATGTATCTAAGAGTTAGCTTAATTCGACTTAAGTTTTTGAAGCTGCAACCTACTCAAAAGGCGATGCAATTGTGGCTGGCTCAAAAGGTGAGTCATCATTTACTTGAATTTGCAATTTTCGCGAAAATATTCATACCTGCATTTAAGGCAACTTCTAGCAATTGACTCTTCAAGACAAACCACCTGCAATTAAAACAAAATTCGGATAAATGTATGACTAGAACCTATAGAAGGTTCTTTACTTTTCAACCGTGCAAGAAAGAATGCAAAATGTATAAAACAACTCAGTGGCGTTTTTCAGAACACATTGAGCTGTCCTAGCCAACAAAGTTGAATGGACTTGGGTTCTGCCTTGTTGGCCGCCTTGGCTTCCTCCGTTTTCTTGTGCCTCTCCTCCTTCTTCGCTTCTTTTCTCCCACGCCGCAGCGCACATGTCAACTTACGCCTGCAGCGGTCTGCCATCCCTGCTCTTCTCGCACGCCGCCTGCCGGTCACGGACGGGCGTCGCGATGGACGGTCTCCCTAGGCCAGGCGCCTGCTTTTCCGCCGGTGTGGCTTTCGCCTTCGGCTTGCTTTTTTTGGCGTACCACCAGCAGCCTATATCGGGCATCTGCAGCAAGGCGCATCCTCGCAGAGAAGCAAAGAGCTCGCTCGGGCCTTCATCTCGAGGTCCAAGGTCATCAAGCGTGAGAGAGCGTTCGACCGAGGTCCGGGCAGCACCACCGGGGGCGGACGGGGTCACGGGCGCAGGTGCAGAGCCCTCGCATTCCCGAGGGGCAGGACCTGCGTTCATCTGGATTTCACACGTGCGGTTGCAGCACCCTGCGTCCTCTTGGCTTCGTGTAGATGGCTTCTGCCAGGCTCTTGACGACCGCCCGGTGTTCCAGGAGCGCATGTGGGGTCAGGTCCACGCGCGCGGCGAGCCGGCTGCGCAGCTCCTGCATCGAATCGAGAGAGTATGTGTATTAAAAAAATATATATACGCGCGCGCGCGCGCGTGAATGCAGGTTTGTTGCGGCCTTCAGCGTCGGCTTCGGCTCTCTCTCCACGTCGGCTCGGCTCAAGTGCCGAGTCAACGCGCGCAGGACCTGCTGGAGAGGGTTCGTCCCGCAGCGTGCGCCCCCTCACGCCCCCCCCCGGCGCCTCGGCTTGGGGGGGCGCGATTGTGCGGCGGCACACTTCACACATGCACCCTTCGGCGCTGAAGCAGTCACCGAGGCGCTTAACCTCCTCGTGACTCTCCGCGCGCCACGCTCCATCGTGTTCCATGTTGCGAGAAGGCAGGGAGCACGTGCGTGCTGCGGGGTAGGTAGTTTGTGGGCCGTCAGCGACTGCGAGCTCGATGCGTCGGCGCAATTGAAAACCCCGGATACCCCGCGCACGGAAAAATACGCCAATTATGCCACTTCGCTTTCCACTTGCGTCACCAGGTGCTGGAAGGTGTGCATGCAGGGCGCTCGTCAGCCCCAGGGGTCCCTGCGTGAACCAACCCTTGGATCCTCTGCAAGTGGAACCCTGGGGTACGGTTTGGCTGCTGACCGCGCAGTTGTCGAACTACTTGCCGACTACCCGGAATCTGAATCCCCACCAGCCAGAATACTCAATTTGCTTAAATGTGAGAGGTTCATGTAATGTAGCGAAGTCTACAGAACCCTATTCTAGGGTTAAGAAATCCTGAGAAATCTTCGAATATCTCCAAAGGCCTCTGAGGTACAATCATAGCTTATGCGTCTTTGCAGACCCAGAGAAACCAACATGAAATACGAAACTCTAGCAAGAAATGCGAAATCTTCGAAGATTTCTAGAAATCCAAAGGTCTCGTATCCTGAGAAATAATCCCGAAGATTAGGAGATTTCACATGATCGAACCAATCGTAATATCATTGTCAGATACCCGTAGCAACTCCAAGGTCTGAACTTATCTCTATATATATATATGTATATATATATATATATATTTTTTATTTATGCATTCAAACATACTTGTTCGTCATATTTCTTCGCATCTCCAAATATTCTTAGAAAAATATATCCACAAAAGCTCTATAAAAAATGAAGATTCCTGTTTCCGAAGAAATATTGGCTTTCGATCTTGAAACCTGTTCAATACTGCCCTTGAGCATTTTACGGATGCCTTGAGAAAACAAAAAAAACCTAGTAAATTCCTCAGCGCCTTGCAATTATCACCCAAAATTCTTGGTCTCCCACGTGGCTTATACTCTTCGCTCAAAGAGCTACGCCTAAACTCCGATTCAATAACTCTTATAAAACTAGGAAGGCAAAATCACCCTCCCTAATGAAAATCATAAATAAAAAATGAGAAAGAGAGAAGACAAGAAACAAGATAGTTTCCTAAAAAAGAGTCTAGGAAACTAAGCCCTAAAAGGCGAAGCTGGATAAGGGTGGGAGCCGCCCTTTACGGGTGCGGGTGGGAAAAGAAAAACTGGCGTGTCCGATACAAGGCCCCAGTCTCCGAAGGCCTCGAGCATACTCCGAAGCCGAATCGTGAACTCCCCCCCGCACTTGTGTACCCAAGCGGCTGAACATCGAAGCCTATTTCCGGCACAAACCCTAAACCGTAAACCCTAAACCCTAAACCCTAAACCC